GTATACAGCAGTTGACTTCTGATTGTGGTTTCAGTTATACTATCTTCTTTTCTTCAGTTACCAAGCGAGTGAGAGTGTTGTTCTCTGTGGGCTGTGGCCACTAGTACCAGCGGTCCAGTCCCCAAATCCACCAGGAGGTGCGATGAGGGCGGCGGCGCGGCCCAAGATCGGCGACAGGGCGACGAGCGACGTGGTGGTGCGGCTGCGGACGCCGGACTCGGGCCGGGACGAGTGGCTCTACTGCCACTCCGGCGTGCTCGCCGCCGGGAGCGCCTACTTCGCCGACCGCCTCTCCGACGCCTGGCCGACGTGCCAGATCCTCGACTCGCGCTACTGCGTCGAGGTCCACTGCCGCGACGCCGACCTCAGCTCCCACGTCACCGCGCTCCGCCTCCTCTACGCCGCCGACCCCGTCTCCCGCTTCGGCGTCCGCGGCGCGCTCGCCCTGCTCGAGGCCGCCGCGCACCTTGGCTGCGCCCGCACCGCCGCCGACTGCGCCGACTACCTCGAGTCCGCCCCCTGGGACGAGGCCGACGAGGAGGAGATCCTCGCCGCCGCCCCGCGCCTCGGCGCCCACCGCGCCCGCGTCCTCGCGCGCCTCCGCCCCGCCGATCCGGGCCCCGCCACCGCCATCTTCCTCTCCGCGTTCCGCCACGCGACGGCCGCGCCGTCGGCCGCCTCGCGGGAGCTCAAGTCCGCCGCCCAGGAGCAGCTGGAGTACATGCTCACCGAGGACGACGACGCGCCGCTGCTCACCTTCGACGCCGGCAGCAGCGACGCCGTCAAGTCTCAGGTGAAGGGCTGCGTCACGGGCCTACTGAACAGGTTCAGCGATTTCACGGGCTCCGCACTGACGAAACAGACGGAGGCCCCTTGCTCCGGCGAGCTTCAGCAGGCGCTGCACTCCTTCGTCTCCGACATCGCCTGGGTCTGCCAGGTCCTGGGCAAGCTGGAGATGATGAAGTGCCTCGCAGCCTACTGGGTGGAAGCGTCGTCCGCCGTCGTCGCAGCCGTCGAGGCGGCGGCGGCGGCGGAGTGCCACCCGGGGCCTGAATGTCTGAAGACCAGGCTGAAGGTCGTGGAGATATCTGCAAAGGTCCTGGAGGCCGTCGCGTTCGGCAACGTCGTGCTCCCGGCGGAGAAGCGGCGCCACGCCGTGAGCGTCTGGATCGCCTTCGCCGGGACAACGAGGCATCTGGTGGATGAAGCTGACCGTGGCAGCAACGACGACGGCGACGACGACGGCGGTAATAATGGTGATGGAGGCACTGAAGCCGAAGCTGCATCAGCATCAGCAGCAGCAGCAGCAGCAAAGGTCGGCCTGGACGGCGAGGTGTGGCAGGGGCTGGAGTCGGCGATCACCTCGATCGTGACGACGCTGCCGTCGAACGCCCAGGCCGAGGTGCTGTCGGAGTGGCTTCAGTCGGAGCACGCCGCGTTCCCGGACCTGTCGGAGGCGTTCGACGCCTGGTGCTACAGGTCCAAGGTCGCGCGGAGGAGGCTGTCTTTCCTGAACAGCGCCAATGCGGCGTCCTGATCCCCGCCCGGCCGGCCGGCATGCGAGATCCATTGCTGTCGAGAGGATGCATACATACTTCATGATGTCCATCTGCATGGTCTGGTCTGCAGTCGGCCTCTTGTGATCATCATGGACAGCACTGAGCATCTGCCTTTCTTCACCAACAAAACACCAATGGACATGGAATTCCTTTGCCTTGCTATATGGTCACATACATACATACTCTGGTGGAATTGCTGCAAGATCTCCTTATGAACTTGCAGTAAGCTCCATGTAACCAACGCCTTGGCATGTGGAATTGGGGACACTCATGTGATAGTCTGTACTCTGTGGTGCCAACAAGTTTTATGATATTTGTTTGATCTTCTTGTCAAACAACTGGTTGGTCATGCCACGAAGATGTAGCTGGCACCGGAGTCACTAAAGAACATCTAATCTAACCTTTGATCGATGTTTGCCGATTCCGCATACTGGGAATGGAACTCGATGTAGCACATTGGCCCCAGAATGTCTGATCAAGGAGGCCCTGGTGTCCGTTTGCTTCTTCCTTGAGCATTTCGGGTCAAAGAGGCAATCTCCCATTCCATGTTGTGAGCTTGTTGGTTTAGCTTGATTGATTGGTGTCAACTTGTGAAAAGGAAATAACTCAAGGTGTAGGTGTTACCATGTTTCTTGCGTTCATCGTTTCTGCCAGGATGTTTTCTTGACGTAGTATGTTCGAGTAAATTGCACAGAAGTATCACAATTGGGGCATTGGAAGCAGATTGGTATCAAATTTGGTAATTTTTACGTGTCAGTACCAAGTCTGGGGCTAGATGTTACAAAAAGGTCTAAAACGCGTATTGACGGTGTATCTAACCGGCGGGGCTTGCATGTCAGCTGCCGATGTGGCATTTTTTTTGC